AATAAACTATTTAATTCAATAATAATCTTGGAAAATAAATTATCTCAACACTAAGAACAATAAAATGCAGTTTTATTTTATAACCTTACACTATTGAAATTAATGATCAAAACAAGTATTTGAAGCATTTATTTTTATACAAAATTTGCATTTATTTTACACAGATAATTATTATGTAATACGCAACTTTAAATTAATCTCAAAAAGACAAAAAGTGATCGCTGCGACCGGAGACTGAAGCCTGGTTTCTAGGACATTATCTTTAAATTTTCTCTAAATTTGTTAAGAAAATAACAAAAGTAATTCAACCGGTGGTTCTAACCCGGAATCATAGATGATTGTCTTAAAAATTCCCTTTATGAATTTACTAAGAAAAATATTGCTACAAAAACAACAAGTTCGACCGGGGAATCGAACCCTGGACGTTAGGATTCGAAATTTCTTTAAAATTTTACTAAGCGTTTTCTTATAGTATAATTATTGCTTGATAATTTATTTTTAGAAGCTATTCGTAATTGGTAAACAAATAAATTGAAATATTGTTTATAGACGCGTCGCCAACAGTATGCGATAATTACCAGGAAGGTGAAAAAATATTTCTTAATTTCAAAGCACACACAACTACAAAAGCTTTTAGTAAAACAAAAATCATTTGATTTGTTGATTATTTTTTTATTAGATTAGTTTTAGGGCAAGAAATGTAAATGTCCGCCGCGGTGCAATTAACAAATTCATCAGTGCTGGCTGGGCTTTAAGGCTTTAACTAGCCTGAATGACCTTGACAAAACGGCGATCGCAGAGATTTTAGCCGACGTCAACACCGTCTAGCAACGTAGTTTGTCTGTATTCCTTATAAAAGTGCAAAGATTAATAGACTGCACAGATGACAGTTATATAAGTGACATACTGCCTGTTATGCTTGCGCATCACTGAGAATTATGTCACGGTTACGCATCTGCAATTACATTGTGCTGTAGCTTTGTCCGGTAGGCGTCACGAGCTATCAAGTGTTCAAGTTTCAAGTACGTAAGAGTTTTTTATTATATATGTTAAATCGTATTTATTTGTATCGTATTAGTAGATCTGGGTCAAAGTGTTCGCTGTAAAATTTTCCCGGGTTTGATCCCCGACAGCACGAATGAAATTTGTAATTGCAATTTTCGTCAACACGCATTGCAGAAGCACGGCGGGCATTTCCTTGCCCTAAAACCCTCTCAGAAATAAAAAAAGAGTCCTGTGCCCAGTAGAGGGACTTGTGTAGCCTATTACTTGACTTTGTAGCAATATTTATATTCGTTTCAGATATAAAAGGGTACCTTATGCTGACAAAAATATCATGTGGAGGCGACGAAAACGTAAAACATCTTTGTACCTAGATAAAACGTTCGAAAGATTGTCAGTCATGTCATACGCCACATTTTCTATAGAGCGTAGAACATTGCAGAGAGGGCAAAATAAAAAATAATCCAAAATATTATGGGAATTATTTATTAATAATATATACATTTATAGGTATTTATAATAAAAATAATGAACAAGCTGCAAGGCTCAACTAATAATGTTTTTTGTAAACACAATTGTAAAATTCCTGTTTTAATTTTTACCAATGGTTAATTGATGAAACGTAGTCAAGATCACTTCATATAAAATATATTTAATTAAAATTGACACTATTTGGCCTATTTGGCCTTCTACTTACAACTCGGCGGTAATTTGAAAAGAAGATTTTGTCTTTTCACACAAGTATTGTTTACAACTGGCGTGGTTTCGAAAAGCGTGATTAAGTGTCAGCGGTATATAATCAATTAAATACTGAACTTTTTTGAAATTTATTTTTTTTGTTTCTCATTATCTTCTTAAAAACTGACGCCATGTCACTATTTTATTATTTGTTTTTTTTTGTAACGCATAAGGATAAGTTAGACTAAGTTAAATTAACTTGGATAAGTTTATAATTTTTTTAATTTTATCACAAAATTTCCGCAATAAATTATTACATTTTCTAAAGTGATTCTTGATAAACATTTTATTAATAAATAAATAATTATTAATCTAATAACCATAATAAAACAAAATTAATATTAAATACATAACCATTATTTGTTCATCTGTTATCCAAGGACAAATCAACTAAAAAAGTCCAGGACCAACGACAACAAACGATACAACGCGACCTTGAGCTTGGTAATACAACAAAATAAAACAAACCAATAATAATATGTGTATGTCTGAAACTGTTTGCAAAATACGTAATAGGTATTTTTTACGTAATCCCGCAAAACTATATTTTGCAAATGCAAAAATAATTTTGTGACTACTTTGGCGGTTCACCAATTTACTTATAATTTTATTTATTGTTGAAAAAAATATTCAAACAAGACACTGACTTTGTAGTTTTGTACTCAACACCGACACGTATGACATCATCATCATCATCATCATTATTATCATTACAGCCCTTCACAAGTCCACTGCTGTACATAGGCCTCCCCCAAAGAATGCCACAAAGCACGGTCCTGAGCCACCTGCATCCATCGACTTCCTGCATATCTTACCCTACACGCCCTACACTTCGCCTGCCGGTACGAGGCTGCCACTCGAGAACCTTTCTTCCCCATCGGTTGTCGGTTCTTCGAGCTATATGGCCGGCCCATTGCCACTTCAGCTTACTAATCCGTTGGAACTCCGAGCATAGCCCTCTCCATAGCTCGCTGAGCGACCTTGAGCTTCCTCATCCGGCCAGCAGTGAAGGACCACGTCTCAGTTCCGTATGTCATCACTGGCAACACGCACTGGGTGTATGACACGTATGACATAGGTAATTAGTATTGTAACGAGATTTGAAATCACGGGCCAACTTGCGTTTCTAATACCACCGAAAACAAAATTACGTATTTTGAATAATTAATTACTAAACCTACAATAAATTAAAATATATTGTATTATATTGGAATCAAATACATACTAGAAATATTGCAAATTGAATCAATGAAAATCATACAAAAATATAATATAAATCGCAAGAAATTCCGCGCGCAAATCCTATCCCTTGACAATCGAGATTTACTAAAGAATGTTTTTAATTTTATTAGAGTCAAACAAGACAAGGAAGTTTGGCATCGCTTTTTCTTCATGCATCTATTTCAAGGTTAGGAAGTACGGCATCGTTGCCTAATATCTACCCACAAATAATGGTATTTGTTGGACAACAATTTCGTCTGCACACCATCTAGCGTGCCAATGTTTAAACTATGTTTTGGCGCTTTTGCTTGTCAAGTTGTTAAAATTCACTCACACTACTAAAGAAGTGTCAAAATTTTCCTAGATTTCACTATTGTTTTTCTCAATAAATACTGTAAGTAATTTTCTAAGAAGGTCAATCGCGGGCACATTTCAGTGTAGAAAAGTGATAAAATGATTAGTTTTAAACAAATAGTGTCTGTGTTTAACGTATATAGGAAAAGAAAAATGTATGGCGCGGCTATCGGAGGATCCCCCTTAAGTAATAATATAACTACAGAAGTGATACCTAAGTACTTTATTATAAAACTTAGTTGAAATTTACTTTAATACCCAAGTACCTACTTAAAAACTTATATTTGTCTTTTGTAATTAAGATATTTTAAATTATAATAGCACAAAATCCTGAAATTAAAACTTTTTTACAAAATTTTTAACTAAGTAGAGTACGACCACATTTCTATTAGGAATAGTAATTCGGGTTTAATTGTTGTTTACACTATCTATCTTTTTCTAACTAGCCAAGCATGGCGATTCCCGAAGAATGGCCTTGCAAGTTGCATGCGTTGAGCATCACAGAACTCGTGGAAATATAGTCGATCATAGTCAGAAAAGGTATTATACCTAAATAACTTACTATTTCACAATGTATTTTTTACTCTTTATTAACAGCTCTTAGTAACAACGGAAAGTCCGTTGTGACGTAAGAAACAGAAAAGATACAAAGTAATATGGAAACTCCCGCGCAGCGATAAAGTTTCATTTAGCTTGCATGCGCAATTTATCTGATTAATTAAGAAAAAACTATGTAGGCTATTAAAACGTCAGCAAGCAGTCAATATCAAAGGAGTTCAACATCTGTACGTAGTGCTATTATTTATTCTGTGTCCCAGGTAAACAACACAAAACTTGTCAACAACTTAGTCCTCTCAAGAACTACCAGCATAGGTGGTGACATAGACGTTACACATGTTATCCATTAAGAATAAAAATTTATCTCTTCTTAAAAGCAGTAATTATACTACTGGCTATTATATATGTAGACCAGAACACATCCGGAGCAATGTGCGCAATACTACTTTATGGCATAAATAGGTAAGAGGATTATATATACCAGACAATTATCGAGTTCTTAGTTAAGCTGATATTTAAGCAATGTATAAAACATTTGTTAAAGCAATGTATATAGGAGACGAAATCGTTTTGATTACAAGTTATCTTGAAATGTAAAATATATTACACTATGATCCTATCTAACAAATTATCGCATTTTCATTTAATGTGTAATGTTCGCGTAAATATACGGAATCATTAAATTATCGCACTAAATAATTTATAACGGAATACGCAATAAAACAAAACGATAAAAACCCACGTTTAAATACCACATATAGTTCACTTGTGTCATTGCAAAAATGTTTTCTAAAGCATATGTACTTTTATTTTTAATATCGCTTCAAAATGTGTTCGGTAATAAAAGAGCACAAACAGAAAGAGAACTAAAATTGCAACAAGGATATCCTTTAGACTCACTTCTCAACTTTACCAAACTAGCCACCGAATATGGGTACGCTTCTGAACAGCACTCGGTCACCACAGAAGATGGTTACATTCTGACAATGTTCAGAATAACCAGAGGAAAAAATTGTCACGGACCAATACGGAAACCACCTGTGTTGCTCATGCACGGCTTACTCATGAGCTCTGATAGTTAGATGGATTCAGGTCCCAAAGCTGGATTAGCATAGCTCATATCTGACTTGTGTTATGATTTATGGGTTCCCAATGTACGAGGAAATTACTACTCGAAGAAGCACATAAAACTCGACCCGGCAAAAGATCCCGAATTCTGGGATTTCTCTACAATAGAATTCGCTTACTACGATATACCAGCTTCAATCGATTACATACTAAAGCACACTATGTCAGATAACATCAATTACATTGGATATTCGCAAGGCGGAGGTACCTTCCTAATGATGAATTCTGAGAGACCGGAGTATCACTACAAAATCGGAGTGGGTATACTTTTAGCACCTGCCACAAGACTCACTTATACAAGATCACAGCTATTCAGGTTTCTTTTAGACTATTATAAAGCTAATTTACCTTATCTATATCAAATTGGAATCTACGAAGCTCCGCCTCAAGGTGGTATTGTGCAAGAGATTGCTGCATTCCTATGCAAGAATTACGTAATTGCAGATACTATTTGTAGATATTTCCTGAGCTTAATTGACTCTTTCCACCCAGGTTCTGTGGAGACGGAAACAATACGTGTGTTCATAGGTCATTTTCCGGCAGGAACATCAGTAAAGAACATGGCGTGGTACGGTCAAACTTTGAACGTTGATATGTTTCAAAAATTTGACTATGGACCGTCTAGAAATTTGGAAATGTATGGCACCGCTCAGCCACCCCCTTTCAACCTCAGCGCTGTGACGGTACCTGTTGTCGTTATTCATGGAAGAAACGATTTTCTGACTTCACCAGCTGACGTAGATTGGGTGACCAGTCACTTGCCCAATGTACTCGAGGATTATTACATTGTGGATCCACTTTGGAATCACTTTGACGTAACTTATAGTCAGTTCACTGCTAGATATGTTTTACCGAAAATTAAGGAATATTTAGAGAAATTTAGCCAAGATGGGGATATGTAGTGTGAATATTCTTTTCCCTAATCTATCGATCGATGATAACTATATATTTTATACTTTTGTTATGATAAGTGATGATGATTTGTTTGTTGGTATATATAGTATTATAACAAAAGCATTAATTCCACACGAACAAAGTTCCGGATACAGCTGGTTAGAAAATAAATACTATGATAATTAAAAAATAATGGGTAGAAATAGTGTAATAAAAATTCAAATTCGGGTGTTGTAATTTTTCAATCTAACAAAAATGAAAATTTAATGCTTCCTCTACACTACTCGCGAAGTAACTTCGACGAAGTGCTCGTCGAAGTCGATCGCAGTCCGAAGAACGTGACCACACACTCGTGCTACTTCGTGAAGAGCTCAGTCGTCTTGAGTCTCCCGCACCCTTAACATGAATGATGTTCAAGAGGTAGCTGCTACAGGTACCTTATTGTGTGAACAGTACGACGTCAATGCGTTAACTAAATAAATAATTATGTGGAAAGCTACATATTTAATATTTCTATATAAACAAAATTTTCATAACTGGCGTAAGCCGATTAGTGTAGAGAGACGCTTCGTGTAACTTCGGGGTACTTCGCGAAGTCCTTTGACTCTGGCGCAAAAAACCGACAGCGATCGGAAGTCGCCCGAGGCGAAGCGAGGTTGGAAGAAGTGAATCGAAGTACCTCTCTACACTATTCGCCTTGTCCAACTTCGATCTTCTTCGCGAGTAGTGTAGAGGAGGCATTAAAACGTTTTATAACCGCAAAAGACAAGATAATGCCTACTGCCTACCTCCTATAATAGATAGCGTGATAAAATATGTATACTAAAGGTTTAACCTTCACGCAACACTATAGTGAAAGTTTCATCCAAATCCTTTCATAGATTTATGTGTGATGCGTATTCATACAGACAAACCGACTACGTTTTGATTAAATTTTTGTTTTGGTATCTGAAACTGTACACCCCAATTAAAATTAATATTTAATACCAAAAATATGCATTAATTTTGGTGAAATTATAAAAAAAAATCAGTTAAAAGTACACTAAATGTTTTTCTATAAGTATCACTTGATGGACGCTGGGTTCTTAGCCTTATTACATAATTTTCATTTGCCATGATTGTGTTACACCTTTCACACTGCTTACCGTTACCGTCTGGATATTTTACGACTGATGTAAAGATAAATTTAATCCAAAATCTAATGGAAGCCATCAGATATTTTGACATTTCCCACTCTCGCCTAGAGGCAGTAATTCCTTTACAGTGTCAGCACACAGAAGTTAGTTTTTGGACTCGAAGTTTTAGGAGCCATTGCAGGATTCTTTTTAGCCTAAGATTTAAACCAGAAACGTAAGAAAACTTATAATGTGGAACAGCTGGATTATAGTCTATTTGATATTTCCATATCGTATGATACCATTTAAAATGTCACCGTTAAAAAGTTTATTTTTTATATAAACTCTGTATAAAAAAGGATAACATAATATTAAAAATACATGATTAAAAATCATTATTATCATCATAACTACCTTTAAACGCACATAGACAAATATTAACTACATATGGATAAACCCGTAGAAGGATATTTGCCATTGTAGTTGTGCTTGGCAGGCGGGATAGCAACCGTAACCGTCTTAATATTATTGATTTGCCACTAGGAAGGTGCACTTAGCTATATCAGAAACAGAAACAGGAACAGAAACTTTTTTATTCAATATAGATTATAAATAATAGTTATTGAAAGTCACTCTTTTGTATGATTACTACTGGTTCGAAAAAAAAACCTCTGTCCTGGGAAGAACCAGCAAGAAACCCAGCGGGACTTTTTTTTTAAATAACAACTTACAATCATGTATGTTACACAAATTAACAACACAATAAATTAGAAATAGCTTGGTAGCGATCACCTCATTTCCATGGGTTATTATCATCTATAAATTCATTAATATTATAATAACCCTTTTTATACAAACTTTATTTAATAAAGTTTTTGAACTATGAGCAGGTCAAATTTTGTATATTTTCTGGAATTTTGTTGTAAAAGCGTATACATCGCCCCAAGAATGAATTACTGACTCGATGGAGTCGAGTAACTGGTACTACTAGCTTGTGTCTGTTCCTAGTATTTACAGAATGAATATCACTTATTTTTGTAAAACTACTTTTATTTTTGTGTACGTACATTACATTTTCATAAATGTATTGAGAGGCCAAAGTTAATATATTAATTTCCTTAAATTTTTGTCGCAGCGACTCTTTAGGCTTTAAATCATAAATTGCTCTTATGGCCCTCTTCTGTAAAACAAATATAATTTCAGTGTCAGCTGCGTGTCCCCATAGCAAAATACCATACGACATTATGCTATGGAAATAGCTATAGTAAACTAGTCTAGCTGTTTCAACACTAGTTAGACTTCTAATCTTTTTTACGGCATATGCTGCAGAACTAAGTCTAGTTTTGTTATATGGGGGCTCCATTGAAGCTTCGCGTCTAGTGTGATTCCAAGAAAAATGGTGGTATCTACAAGACTCAGTTTCTCACCATTTAAAATTACATTAGTATTTAATTGTTTGACATTTGGAGTCATAAATTTCATACATTTCGTTTTAGTGCCATTTAAATGCAAATTATTAACATTGAACCAATTTACTAATTTAGATATAGCATTATTTACTTCGTCATATTTTAGCAATTGTCGACTTAATTTGAAAATTGAAGAAGTGTCATTTGCAAATAATTATCTCCTGCTATGTAAGGTAAGTCATTAATGTATACAAGAAACAGAAAGGGGCCGAGAATTGAGCCTTGAGGCACGCCCATTTGTACCATCGACCCGGAAGAACTCATACTGTTAATGAAATTTTTTTGCGTTCTCTCACTTAAATATGAAATAATTAATTTAAGAGCATCACTTCTTACACCGTAGTGTTGAAGTTTCCTGATTAATGTTTCATGGTGAACACAATCGAAGGCTTTGGATAGGTCACAAAATATACCCAAAGGATCCTGTGAATTCTCCCATGCATTAAATATATATGTCGCATCAGGGGTGGCCGAGATGCGAAGCATCGGGTTTTCTTCACGCTCTGACATGATTTTATGTGAATGTGGGCACACAAACGAAAGATGATTTAAATCAAAATAACTTTATTTGGACTAATGGTTGTACACGAGAAACAAACACGTGCGTCGGTAGCGAGCGTCCGCTCCGGCTGTCCGAACGATATTATTGATTCGTAAAGCTAATTGTTAGATGGCGCTGCTTGTAGCACTAAGGCGCCATCAATCTACGACATGTGTTTAATCAGCTCAACACTGGCATCAGTTGTCGAGCGACCCCTTGTGAAACCAAATTGATTTTTATGAAGTAAATTATTTATATTAAAGTAATTTAAAATTTGATCAAAAATAATTTTTCAAAAATCTTACTAAGTGTTGGTAGTACAGAAATAGGTCTAAAATTGGCGGGGTCTAATATACTACCAGATTTAAATATAGGTATTACTTTACTATACTTCATTAAATCAGGAAACACACCACATTCGATACTAGTATTAAAAATAATAGCTAAATGAGGCGCGATTGTATCTATTATAGACGCAATAACTTTAACGGAAATCCTCCACAGATCCGCAGTTTTCTTAACATCAATAGTTTTAAAATATTTTACAATATCTTTTGATGATACTTTATAAAATGCAAAATTCTTTGTACACGCATTTACATTTTGTTTAAGTAATGATTCGGCGACCGCAGGAGAAGAATTCAGTGACTTAGTGTTTAATATCGGAATATCAGTAAAATATTTCTCAAAACCCATTGCAACGTCCTGATCTGATTCGGTTAATTTGTTACTAACACTTAACTGGTAGTTTGAATTGCGAGAGTTGATCTTACCAGTTTCGCTATTAATTATACTCCATGTCATTTTATTTTATTAGAAGCCGTCTTAATTTTGTAGCTCAAATGCAAAGACTTGGCTGTGGAGCACACTCTTTTAAATATTTTTGAATATTTTTTTACATATTCCCTAAATTCGACGCTATGATTATATGACCTTTCACGGTAAAGATCATATAACCTATGTCTGCTCTTATGGACTCCTACTGTCGCCCATTCATTAAATGACTTCCGACTGTTCAAGGAGAATGTTTTCGAAGTAAAAGTATTATTAAATTCACTGCAAATAAGCTTAAATAATGTTCCATACAAAAAATTTGGATCATTTTGGTATGAAAGTGATGGAAGTTTTTTCACTATGTTACTTCTAAATTTCTCCAAGCGACGTGCATTTACTGGAACAAACACAAATTTTTCATCTATTTGCTTTTTGTGAACATAAGGTAACGAAACTACCTGTCCACAGTGATCAGAACTTAATTTTTGAATTATAAATTTATGCAACGGCTTGTTGCACTAGATTGAGCAATACGCGTTGGCTCTAAAAATAAATTAAAAAGACCATATGATTTAAACAATGATCTAAATTTAATATTGATTTAGGAAGCTTCTAGGAGATTGATATTAAAGTCTCCACATATTACAACAGATTTATTCTGTTTATTAAGCTTAGCAAAAACTTCCTTCATAATTTTTTCAAAAGTATCGTATATAGAACATGGGGGTCTGTAGACGCTCACAACAATGAGGTGCTCAAACTCAACACATGCCATTTCTACAGTTCGCTCAACAGAGAGGCTCACAATATATTTACGTTCTTTACATGACAATAATTTATTAGCTAATATTAAGGAGCCACCTCTTAAAACCGTTTCTCTATTGAAAGAACTGACCACCTGGTGATTACTGAAGTTAAACATTAAGTTATAAGCTTTTAACCAATGTTCAGTAATACATAAAATATGAATATTGTTGCTATTTAAGAACAACTCAATTTCTAGCTCTTTGCCTATCATGCCTTGTAAATTTTGATGCACCAGGTGTAAACAATTTTCATTATTACTCTTTGGAGTCATACAATTAAAGATTTGTAAGCTACATTCTAAA